AGTTAGGGGCGCCAAAATGTGCTTTGATATTATATTATTGGTAAAAATAATGGGTTTGAGAGTTGAAAAAAGAAAAGGGGGCGCTTTAAAATGGATCTTGTCCCCGGGCGCGAATCTTGTCCCCGGGCGCCAAACACCCTCGCTACGCCACTGGCCCTCACTCTCTAACTTTTCACCCCCTAGGCCTTCACCCTCTATTCCCTCACCCTCTTTTCCAGTGGTTCTCACACTTTCTAATGCCGTGGCCCTTTAATACAGTTCCTCATGTTGTGGTTACCCCCCAAACATACAATTATTTTCGTTGCTACTTCATAAATACGCGTTTTCCGATCGTCTCAGGCGACCACTGTGTAATGGTCGATCGACCCCAAAAGGGGTCGTGACCCAAAGGTTGAGAACCACTGCTTTATTCCCTCACCCTCTATTCCCTCACCTCTATCTTCTCACTCCTACGCCCTCACCCTCTATCTCCTCACTCCTACGCCCTCACCCTATAATCTGTCAGCCCCTATATCCCCACCCTCTAATCCCCTCACCCTCTATCCCTCACCCTCTATGCCCCACTCGCTACGTCCTCCCCGCCATAACAGTAGGGCGTAAATATGAGCAGAGACGCTTAAGGGCAAGTTTTGACAAGGGTCTGAACTCCTATCAATATTACTAGCATGCTTTGTAACAAGTCTTTGTCCAATTATCTCCCTCATACTAAATGGACTAAAAGAACTATTGCGTAGAAGGTATCTTAAGGGAAGATTGGATAGGTGGATGGGGTACGAAAATTTCAACATGCTTAGATAACGTGTATTGAAAACACTGACGTATAAAAAAACAAATTTATTCCTAAACAACATATAAACGAAACAAAAATAGTTATGTCCACCAAAGCACAAAGACGTTCTGAGTGGGTTACTAAATTGATTTAACTCTACCGGAGTTCGTTGAACTTGTCTTTTTTTTTTTTAATATCTACGAACTTTAAAAAAAAAAAATAGAATGTTTTGTGTCCCTCCTCCCTCTATACGATTTAATTTATTTTTATAATTAAAAAAACTTTTTTAAAATTGTTTTTTTTTTTTTAAAAAAACAGAATGTTTCGTGCCCCACCTCCCTCTATACGAGTTAATTTATTTTTATAACTAAAAAAACTTATTTAAAATTGTTTTTTTTTTTTTTTTTAATTTCATTCCGAATAGCTAACATAGGAAATGAAGTCTCGTGAAGATGGATTAGATGTATATCGCCTGTCATATTACCAGGGATCTGTAGCGGAGCTCGGAGCTCTGAAGCTGGTTGTTTTTGCCCCTGAGCTGATACAATTCCTTACTAATACAAGCTCCAAAAATATTATAAGTTTACTTTTTAATTAATTTTTTATAATAGTTGCCCCACTCCTCTAACAGATGTTGCCCCATTCTTCTGGCAGCTGTGTTTCCCAAATATTCCATCAGTTATATTGCCTCACTCTTCTACCATATGTTGCCCCACTCTTTCATCAGCAATGTTTCCCAAATACTGAATCAGTTATATTGCCCCCACTCTTCTACCAGATGTTGCCCCACTCTTCTTGCAGCTATGTTTCCACACTCTTCTTACAGCTATGTTGCTGGTACATGCATTTCTAATGGCTAGTTCATAAGATGGATTAGTGACAGTCAATAAACATATTTCCTCAACCTCTTAGCGCCCACTTAACCGCCCTTAACTGGGGCGGGGCTAGAGCTGAATAAATTTGTCCGTAGCGGAGCTCGGCCCCGTGAACAAGTCTGCTCCAAATAGTTGGATACGATGTAGCAGAGGAACAAAGGGTAACATCGTAACATCCCTTAACATCGTAACATCCCTTTAGCACACAACCCGTGCACGGGTTTATTTCTCAGAATGCATGCCACTAAGTCACAAAGCGTGATCACGAATAAAAAAAAACAACAAGCAAACATGTCCCACCTGGAACCGTGTTGTCCAGAAACATTGCCAGAAATCCTCCCAAAAACATCGGAGTGCCGAGAATGACGTTGATCGTCCTGTCTGCTTCCTCCACGCCTGCAAGAAGACAACCAGATACCGATACAATGAGTTTGCGACAGCCAGAAAGTGTGTTTTAACAGAGATCGTGCTCCATCGGGTATTGTTTTAAATCAGACGTTGTGTTATATCAGAGATGGTGTTATAACAGAGATGGTATTATATCAGAGATGGTGTTATATCAGAGATGGTGTTATATCAGAGATGGTGTTATATCAGAGATGGTGTTATATCAGAGATGGTGTTATATCAGATATGGTGTTATATCAGAGATGGTGTTTTATCAGAGATGGTGTTATATCAGAGATGGTGTTTTATCAGAGATGGTGTTATATCAGAGATGGTGTTTTATCAGAGATGGTGTTTTATCAGAGATGGTGTTATATCAGAGATGGTGTTTTATCAGAGATGGTGTTATATCAGAGATGGTGTTATATCAGAGATGGTGTTATATCAGAGATGGTGTTATATCAGAGATGGTGTTATATCAGAGATGGTGTTATATCAGATATGGTGTTTTATCAGAGATTGTGTTATATCAGAGATGGTGTTTTATCAGAGATTGGGTTATATCAGAGATGGTGTTTTATCAGAGATGGTGTTTTATCAGAGATGGTGTTACATCATGGATGGTGTTTTATCAGAGATGGTGTTATATCAGAGATGGTGTTTTATCAGAGATGGTGTTTTATCAGAGATGGTGTTATATCATGGATGGTGTTATATCAGAGATGGTGTTACATCAGGGATGGTGTTATATCAGAGATGGTGTTTTATCAGAGATGGTGTTTTATCAGAGATGGTGTTTTATCAGAGATGGTGTTATATCATGGATGGTGTTTTATCAGAGATGGTGTTTTATCAGAGATGGTGTTATATCAGAGATGGTGTTTTATCAGAGATGGTGTTTTATCAGAGATGGTGTTTTATCAGAGATGGTGTTTTATCAGAGATGGTGTTTTATCAGAGATGGTGTTTTATCAGAGATGGTGTTATATCATGGATGGTGTTACATCATGGATGGTGTTTTATCAGAGATGGTGTTACATCATGGATGGTGTTTTATCAGAGATGGTGTTACATCATGGATGGTGTTTTATCAGAGATGGTGTTTTATCAAGGATGGTGTTATATCAGAGATGGTGTTTTATCAGAGATGGTGTTTTATCAGAGATGGTGTTTTATCAGAGATGGTGTTTTATCAGAGATGGTGTTATATCATGGATGGTGTTTTATCAGAGATGGTGTTACATCAGGGATGGTGTTATATCAGAGATGGTGTTTTATCAGAGATGGTGTTTTATCAGATAAGGGATCAATGACGGTGTTTTATCAGATAAGGGATCAATGACGGTGTTTATATAACATGGTGTTATGCCATGGGTTCATACGAGAGAAGTATGTATGTAGGCGATTCGTTTTTCATTGGATTTATAGAGAAAGATTGCTTCATACAAAAATAGATTTTACATGTTTATACAAGAAGTTTCTACGAGAGATGGGCGTTTAACAGATACGGTTTTATTTCAGAGAAAAATGTGTGTATATTTCAGAGATATGTATGTCATAGAGAGGGCTTTAAAATGGAGATGAGTTTATTTTAAGATTCAAATAGGTTCCGAAAATTGAATATTTAATTGTCAGGTAATAAGATATTTTCTTTGCTTGTAGACTTTGCTCACTACAAACTTGCAGAAAGATTAAATCCGATCTAGTCTTATTGTGACGATGTTTTATATGCACTTGGACTCAGTCTAAGATTTTTTCTAGATAGAAAAATAGCTATTGATTGCCATTAAATACACTATATCCCTGTTGACACTAATTAAAATGAATGTGGTTTGCGGACGTACTTATGAGATTGGAGTGAATCTCTAGGCCAGCTGGTACAGTAATGACAGGATGGGGTAAGACATTCTGAATGTATTCTGACGTTTAATCATATTATTTGGGCCAGCAGGTACCACAGGGGCAGAGAAGGTATACAATTTGAATGTATTCTGACGTTTAATCATATTATTTGGGCCAGCAGGTACCACAGGGGCAGAGAAGGTATACATTCTGAATGTATTCTGACGTTTAATCATATTATTTGGGCCAGCAGGTACCACAGGGGCAGAGAAGGTATACATTCTGAATGTATTCTGACGTTTAATCATATTATTTGGGCCAGAAGGTATACATTCTGAATTTATTCTGACGTTTAATCATATTATTTGGGCCAGCAGGTACTACAGGGGCAGAGAAGGTATACATTCTGAATGTATTCTGACGTTTAATCATATTATTTGGCCCAGCAGGTACCACAGGGGCAGAGAAGGTATACATTCTGAACGTTTTCTCACCTGTGTTTATAAGATTGGGGTACATCTCAAGGCCAGCAGGTACCACAATGCCAGCCATGAATGGCAAACCCACGACCAGGAGATTTCGTGATGACGTCATGTCCACGTCTCTCAGACTGGAAAGCCCGATGGACAGCAGGGTGCCCACAATGATCATCAACACCCCTCCTGTCAACGAGACGTTACCAAATACAACACCGATATTAAATTACACTTGAACAAGTGAACGTGTAACGATATCCACGAAAAATATGAAAATTTGAAGTCGAATCTAAGGGATAAGAAGAATAAATGTTTGCATAATGCTAATAATTATTTTTCTTTCATTTGGAAGTGGAAGAACGCTCCAGAAAAAGCCACGTAAGGCATCTTTCAAGCCCTTCTTGGCACGAGCCCAACATGTGGCTATCACTAAACGTTTAACTCACCCAGTATTGGATTCGGGATGGTCGTCAGCGCTGCTCCCACTTTGCCAAACAATGAGACAAAGATCAGGAGTCCTCCGGCGACATACATGACAACACGGCTAACGGTCTGTAACAAGAGAAATTAGAGGTTCGTCATTGGAACTGGGAAGTTTTAACATTGGATAAAGTATGTGTGAGGAGAAATTTCATATTATAAGATGACCACCAAAGTTTACCTAGGATAAAGATTACCTTGGATAAAGTTAACACATAAACACAGAAATTTATCTAGGATAGAGTTAACATATAACCACCAAACATTACCTTGGATAAAGCTGACAGATGACCACCACAATGGTAAAGCTAACAGATGACCACCACTACGGTAAAGCTAACAAGTGACCACCACAATGGTAAAGCTAACAAGTGACACCACTATGGTAAAGCTAACAGATGACCACCACTATGGTAAAGCTAACAGATGACCACCACTATGGTAAAGCTAACAGATGACCACCACTACGGTAAAGCTAACAAGTGACCACCACTATGGTAAAGCTAACAAGTGACCACCACTATGGTAAAGCTAACAAGTGACCACCAATACGGTAACGCTAACAGATGACCACCACTATAGTAACGCTAACAGATGTCCACCACTACGGTAAAGCTAACAAATGACCACCACTATGGTAAAGCTAACAGATGACCACCACTATGGTAAAGCTAACAGATGACCACCACTATGGTAAAGCTAACAGATGACCACCACTACGGTAAAGCTAACACATGACCACCACTATGGTAAAGCTAACAAGTGATCACCAATACGGTAAAGCTAACAGATGACCACCACTATGGTAAAGCTAACAAGTGACCACCACTACGGTAAAGCTAACAGATGACCACCACTACGGTAAAGCTAACAGATGACCACCACTACGGTAAAGCTAACAAGTGACCACCAATACGGTAAAGCTAACAGATGACCACCACTATGGTAAAGCTAACAGATGACAACCACTATGGTAAAGCTAACAGATGACCAACACTATTGTAAAGCTAACAGATGACAACCACTATGGTAAAGCTAACAGATGACCACCACAATGGTAAAGCTAACAGATGACACCACTATGGTAAAGTTAACAGATGACAACCACTATTGTGAAGCTAACAGATGACCACCACTATGGTAAAGCTAACATATGACCACCACTATGGTGAAGCTAACATATGACCACCACTATTTTGGAGTTAACGGATGACCACCAAAGTTTACCTTTGACAACGTCAACACAGCAATGTTGCCGCTGTATGACGTTGTCGCATGTCCAGCGCCCACGGCTCCTGATATGACGCTTCCGATCCCCTCAACCAATATCCCCCTGGAAATGGCGTGGTCAGGGACCTTGGACAGCTCACAGGCTTGCTGTGCGGCGTAGTAATCTCCCACCGACTCGACCACGGAGCTCATGCAAGACACCAGGAAGCCAATGGTCAAGGCGACATTTAACTTAGGCGATCCAAACTGACCTAAGAATTTTTTTTAATGAAATTTAAGAAGACTTCTTGGTAACATTCAGGTTTAGATTCATAATTGTATTAAATAGTTCTTATTTGTTTGTGTTGTTGTTATTGTTGTTTTTATTCTGAATTGGGGATTTCATGGGAAAACATGTTTTTATTTATAGTTTCAAAATAATTACGGTAAAGAATCGGCTACCGTGTATATAAAATAATTATTTCCCAAGCCACTGTGGAAAAAAAATTAATAACATTGCCTGAGTTAAATAAATTTTTATCAGCATTAATCCTAGATTAAATTTAAGTCTTCTAAAGGTGAGTGTTCTAAGACCTCCATCACAATTATCTGTTTCAATGTGCATGGTCGAATAACATATTATTTCTTGTGTGTAATAAATTAAGGACTGCGTTCAAGCCGTGTGAAGGAACTAACAGAGCAAGGTATGTGGAAGCTTGAAATAGGAGGACGGGACAATGAAAGACGAACGTTTTGGCTAAGAGCCTTCCGATGCACACAAGACAATTGAAGAAATAATTTTTCTCCTGTCTGCCGAGGAAGGCTCTCTGCCGAAACTTTCTTCTTTTATTGTCCTGTCTTTCCATTTCAAGATTGCACACCTTGTTCTGCTACTTATTCTGTGGTATCCAGAATAAATGTATTATTTAAATGTTTATTTAAAGATGATATGTGTTTTGGCAAGTGGCGTTAAATGATTTGATTTGATTTGATTCAACTTCAGCAGTAAGAATGACATTCAGTTCAATGATCGCAATGGCTTTTACTTTGACATTTACTTTAGAAGTTTAATTTTAAAACAGTTTTTTACTGTAGAACTACCTGGGTATGTAAAGTGGAACCAGTCTGAGCTGTGGATGATGTCGAGTTTGGCATCGGCCCTCACCATGTACCCCTCGTCCTTCTTGTCATCCGTGAACACGTTGCACAGCGTCAGTATCCACACAACAATCCACATGATGATGACGCCAAGAAGAATCTGGAACACATGGAGGCCGTCAATGTCGTATTACGCCATTACGTCAAAAATGAAATAACATTGAAGACACAATCACCAGGGCCGGAATTTCCTTCGCCAAAATCGAAGGGGCTTCAAAATTAAGGGAGACGATAAAGTGAGATGTAGACACTTACGGGAATCAGCTGGAAGACTGCAAATCTTGGTCTCGGTTTTGACTTACTCCCCTTGCCTATCCTCGGTAATGGAACTTTGACCTTAGGTAAGTAGAGTATGAAGATCATGACAAGTACCATGCAGCTGTGGAAATTAAATAAAGCAGTAAATCGAGTTTAAAACTTTCTTTTTAAACAAAAAATTAATTTATAACATATGAATGTGAAGGGAAAAAATAATTTATTAAAACTAGAATCATACAGAAACTATCTAAACAATAGAATATAGAATTGTTCAGAGCCTACATTTTTGTAGGTACAAACTGGTGTTTCCTATTTATCCGCCCTTTTTTTTCCTCTCGCACCGATTCGAAAATATAACAAACTTATTATTTATATTTTTTCATCCAGAAATTGGCAAATTTCGATCCATTAAAATACCTCTTTAAGACTAGGAAATGAATGAAACAAAACATGGGAAAACCTGAAAAAAAGAACGCAACAAAACAACGAACGTGTCGGCAAGAAGCCTTCATGAGAAAGTAACATACAAAAAAAAGTAGCAGTCCTTAAGACTAAGCTGTTAGTCATAGTTGAGCTCTGTAGCGTTTTCCGGGATCTTTTGAGTGTGCTGAATCAAACCAAACCAAAACCAAACCAAACGAAACCAAAATAAATAATTTTTTTTTTAAAATCACATCTTTGTAGTTAATAAGAATCTGGCAAAGATATTAGTAAGTATCTTTAACAGTACTAAAGAGAGATGCAGGCTGCATGGATGTTATAAATTTAAACATACTATTTTCGAAGTTTCATTAATTGCATAACTCTGTCTTTCAAGCTTTGTCTATTTATTCTATAGATATAATTTGAAAATTGAAAATAACACATTATCATCAATGTATTACTTTAGCAACCTGAGGCAGTTATTTGGTGTGCTATAAAGCTGTTCACTTAATTACATCACGACCAACGCTATTTGGAGACTGCTTGTTGTGTAAGCGCGGGTCACCTTTGTAAAAGAACATGCCTTATACCTTAAGGCCACGATGAAATTGGGCCGTGAGTAGATGGTGGGCAGCCTGAACAGAGAGACGCCGATGAGGGAGATGGTGCACGCCACTGTGATCGGACCGATGAAGCGTAGCATGAGGCCCAGCAGACCGAAACCACCGAGGAGCACTTCCACCAAGGACGCCACCATCAGAGCGCCAGCCATCTGTGGGGGGGGGGGGGGGATTGCACAGTGTTAAGCCCCGGGCGTATCCTGCTTTAGTGTATCGGAAGTTTTAATCCGCCTTGATATTTATCTTTATTTGGTCGGATAAGTACAGTGATAAATGTAGCATGAGGCCCAGCAGACCGAAACCACCGAGGAGCACTTCCACCAAGGACGCCACCATCAGAGCGCCAGCCATCTGTGGGGGGGGGGGGGAGATTGCACAGTGTTAAGCCACGGGCGTATCCTGCTTTAGTGTATCGGAAGTTTTAATCCGCCTTGATATTTATCTTTATTTGGTCGGATAAGTACAGTGATAAAACATACATTACAGTGCACAGCCTCTGCTCATAACTACGGCGCAGGAACTGTTTAATTATCCTCATAACAATGTCCCAATAACTGAACAATAACCACATAATACAAGTATACCTGGGATACGGTCAGTCACCTCGAGAAAATACATAATGGGATCAAATGATATGCTCAAACTGTTGGTATTTACAATTACGGGGCTCATGGACCCGATTCAGTGAATCCGAAATACTAATTGAAAACAATCATTTATAAAAGTTACTCCCATTATTGTTTGGGTTAAACAATGTTAAATGCGTCATATGACATCCGGAATTGTTTACCTTAAAATGAGTTTTATGTAATTCAAATTAAACAGGCATGGGAGATATGAAATAGATTTAAAGAACTTAAATGCGTCTTCTTTTTGAGTGACAAAAAACTAGGTCATTTGAATTTTGACAATATTTCTCTTCCATGTTTAATACAAACTCTTTTACTCATCCTGATATTCATTTCTGAAACCATCCCAAAGTTGGGGCGTATCACCAATGTATGACCTACCTCTTGCGGCCTCCACGCGATCCCAGGGTTGACCTATCACCAATGTATGACCTACCTCTTGCGGCCTCCACGTGATCCCAGGGTTGACCTATCACCAGTGCATGACCTACCTCTTGCGGCCTCCACGTGATCCCAGAGTTTACCTATCACCAGTGCATGACCTACATCTTGCGGCCTCCACGTGATCCCAGGGTTGACATAGCATAGAGTATGACCTACCTCTTGCAGCCTCCACATGATCCCAGGGTTGACCTATCATCGATGTATGACCTACCTTTTGCGGCCTCCACGCGATCCCAGAGTGACCTATCACCAGTGCAGGACCTACCTCTTGCAGTCTCCACGTGATCCCAGGGTTGACCTATCATTGATGTATGACCTACCTCTTGCGGCCTCCACGTGATCCCAGGGTTGACCTATCACCGGTGCAGGACCTACCTCGTTCAGCCTCCACGTGATCCCAGAGTTGACCTATCACCATTGTGGGACCTAACTCTTGCGGCCTCCACGTGATCCCAGGGTTGACCTATCAGCAGTGCAGGACCTACCTCTTGCAGCCTCCACATGATCCCAGCTAACGGGTCGAACTGTTCCCCAATCGATGACGCGTTGGTTGCTACAGTAACGTTCGATAACCAGCTCTCTGTTGACGCTGTGGACAACACAGTGGACCACATAAATATTTGAGCGATAAACGAAATAACACGGTCAATTTAAATATGAAAAGAACCGACTTGTAGTCATTTCACTGATTTGTTGAGCTGTTGTTTTTTCGGGGGGTTTTTTGTTGGTGGTTTTTTTTTCAGAGCTATCGCTATCAATATGTTTAAACAGAAAATCAGTCAACATCACATGGCCGCCATTAGTTGTATTTACATTGGCGTGGTGCAATTACAATTACACGAACAGAAGCGCAGGTTTGAACAGTTGAAGTACTGGTGGTGATTGCGTCAGTTTAGATTAAATACCTTCATTTTGTGTGCTGGGCTGTGTCTTCTTGCACTGCCACACGGGATCACGCTGCAAGGCCAGGAGCGGCACTAGGAACGACGAAGAAGGACCTTGGAAGATTGGCAATCTGTTGAGAGGAATGTGTGTAAAGCTAAAACAGATGTTCGTCCTCGCCAACGTCACAGTAGATAACACAAAGGGGTTTCAATTTCTCAACTGCAAGTCTATCAGCTTTAACAATGGATGTGACTGTGTTTTTTATGACATTAAATCGGTGTTTTTTGTGTTGTTGTTTTTTTAGTGGTAGATCTCACCGGAATGGCATATTGGCATTTTTGTTCGACGGAATTTTTCAAATAATATTTGACAAATTTTATGCTTGATCCACATGCACTTGAATCGTCTTGTCCAGTGTAACAGGTCCGTCCCTTTTTATTGTAGCAGGTCGGGGGGGGGGGATCGTTCTGGTTCTGGTAGTGTTCGTTGCTGCATCCATATACTGGCATCTTTGCAACGGTTGGGGGTATGATGTTGCTGTTCTAACAGCTCCTAGCTGATGCCAGGGCAGCCTTGAAGCTTTCGACCGATGTCGAGTTCAAAGTGGCATTGTCCAGGTGGTTCCATGCTATTATTGTGCGTGGAAAGAAAGATTGTTGATACTGCACTGTGTTGCACTGAGGCACTTTGAAGCATTTGCTATTGTTTCTGGTGTAATTGTTTATGGAAATGTCAGTGATGAAGTCAGTTTTCAGTGAGCTCTGATCAGTCTACCCGGCTTCTGTGGGGTGAGGTACGTGCCTGCTGGGATGGCCGGCACCAGTCCCATGATCACTTTATATAAGAATGTCAGGCGGAGTCCCTCTCGCCTGTCTTTAAAGGAGGGGGGGGGGAATGTCAAATCTTTTTAAGAGGCCAGTGACGAAACCAGAAGTGGTGGATTTGTAGTCGCGAGCCATAAAACGCACCAAATTCGCTCCATCTTGTCCACGTCTTGCTTAAGGTGTGGGTCCCAGATGATCGCACCATATTCTAGTAGAGGACGGACGTGTGCAAGATAGGCATTGCGTTTGCAGGAAGTTGGGCCGTGGCGCAGATTTCTTCGAATGAAACCTAGGGTTGAGTTGGCTTTTTTTTTTATTTTGTTTATATGGGGTGACCATTTTAGGATATTTGAGAAGAGAATTCCAAGAATGGATTATTTGATACTTGTTGGAGAATTGTCTCGTTTAGTGAGTACATATCGGTCGGGAAAAGACTGAGCTCTGTGAGGTCGATGCTCAGCACCACTTGCTCGAGTGGTGTTACAAGGGATTTTGCCTCTTCGTGGCGTGACCGACTAGTAGGGGGGACTTTTCCTTCTGAAGCTAAAAAATCCCAGTCAAACGCATGACTTCCTTCGCAACGGAAGTTGCTCGCTAACATGATTACGTGTCGCCGATAATGGATATGAGGATTGAGTGTTTTCTTTAAAAACCCTTGCTGAGAATTAAAAACATGCGGCCTTGAGAAAGCCGCTCCTAGGCGACCGTTTCGTCCCGACACAGTCCAGACCGAACCACTCCCCGAACGGTGGGGTGAGGTAACGCAACGCCTCCCCCGGAGAGGAAGTAAAGCCGTTTGGACCCATGTCCACACAACTCCCAGGAACGGTGGGAGAAAGTTAAGCTTTTGACTACTCCCGGAGTGGAAGCAAAGCCGTGCCGCACCAAGGAACGTACGGCTCCCTGGGCGGTGGTGGTGACAACGCAACGTCATCCCCGGAGAGGAAGCAAAGCTGTTCCAACCCTACGTCCAGACCGTAAGACTCAATGGGCAAGGGGGGGCTGTGACGCAAAACTGTCCTCTCATGAGTGGAAGCAACCTGCCCAAAACCCCGTTACTCAAGGCCGAGTTGCATGGCCGGAGTCCCCAGGGACTACTAGGCTATGTTTCACGGCCAGAGGTTCTAAGAGATGGGATCTCGACCACCGAGTATTGATCTTTATTAGTGAAGATATTGAAAATTAAACTTGTTGGAAGGCTGAATGCAAACAAATTCTCAGTTCAAATCGATGCATCAACTTTGAGAGCCAGTGAGGCCGTACTGATAACTTAACTAAGATATATTGATAAAGGATATTTTGCTGAAGAAATGTTGTTCTTTAAATCATTAGAAAACACCACTACTGCCAAAGTTATAAGCCAAATAATTACTTACTTAGATGTCAATAATATATCAATGAACAATATAATATATATGGTGATGCAGATGATGCTCATAATATGATGGGAAAGAAAATCGCTGCTAAAAATTGATGAAGAATTGCTTCTTGTGCATTGTGTTATTCACTGGGAAAACTTGGTAGCTAAAAAATATTTCGCCTGTTCTTAATGAAGTAACAAACGTCGTTATAAAGTGTATCAATGCTATTAAAGTTAATGCCACATGTGAGCGTCTCTTTCAGCTTTTTTGTGAAGCAAAAAAATGCAGACCATGCGAGACTTTTACTTTACACAGAAGTAAGGTGGCTCTCGAAAGGGAACTGCTTGAAAAGACTTATGAAACTATTTGATACTCTTTGTGACTTTTTAAGTGAGAAACCTGAAATGAAGTACATTCTAACGGTTCATTGTAAAGCATTTGTTAGTTATTTAGCAGATATCTTGAAAAACTAAATAATGTTAAATAACCAACTTCAAGATAAAATCAAAGATATTTCGTTTTATTACATTTATTGAATCAGATTAAGTCAGAAATGTGTTTTGTAATAAAAATTTTGAAAAGTTTCATTGACTCAAAAAAAATGCGAAGTGACTGATACCGCTATACTTGTTATTGTCGATCATCTAAAAATTTTGCCAGCTGATTTAGAAGAAATATTTTTTTAATTTAAAACAAATTGAATTTCCCCATTGGATGATGCAGTCAATGTCAGTGGATTTGACTGTTATTTCAAATATTCAATACCAAGAAGAACTCCCAACCACTTTGATAGTCTGATTTACGGCGATGCCCAGTAGGCCTATACGAGGCATGCCTGTAAGGTGTTTTCCGGGGCTGTAAATGAGCCATAGCTGGGTCCCCAAAAATGAATGTAATATTTCAGTCCACCAATAAAAATATCCAATATTACTGTTACGTGCCGTTATATGTTTTGAAAATTTAATATGTGTTAAGATTTGGCTCATGTAAACAATACGAAGCAAAGGGCTGAAAATAATTATACAAAAAAAAAAAAAAAAAAAAAAAAAAAAAAAAAAAAAAGGATAAAAAAAAATAAAAAAAAAAAAAAAAAAAAAAAAAAAAACCCGATACCAAAGCTTGTGATACTAACACATTCAATTGATGTATACATTTAAATTTCTATAAAAATACAAATCAAATATGCTGAAAAAAACTAGATCTATATCAACTTACAGCCCATCCATCTCATCCATGTGGCGCTACAGCCCATGTAGGGCTTTGGCCTGCCTCTACTTCCTTCCACTCGGACCTAACTAATGCTTTTCTTTTCCATGCTTGGATTCCCAGCTGTTGGAGATATTTTTCCACATCGTCCATCCTTCTAAGCCTAGGTTTGAGCCGTTTTCTTTTAACTCTCTCTAATATTAGGTTAAATAGCATACGAGACAGTGAATCTCCCTGACTTAGGCCTCGTCTAATCTGAAATTCCCTTGAATATTCTCCCCGAACCCTGATTTTTTTTTTTTTTTTTGAGTTGTTCAATGTTACATGTATCAGTCTTTTCAGTTTTTTGGGTTTACCAAACTCATGCAGAGTCTCATTTAGATATTTTTTTTTGATTCTATCGTAGGCCATTGTATAGTCCACACAGAGTTATTTTTAACTCTCTCTAATATTAGGTTAAATAGCATACGAGACAGTGAATCTCCCTGTTTTTTGTCTCGTCTAATCTGAAATTCCCTTGAATATTCTCCCCGGGCCCTGATTTTTTTTTTTTTTTTTGAGTTGTTCAATGTTACATGTATCAGTCTTGTCAGTTTTTTGGGTATACCAAACTCATGCAGAGTCTCATATAGATATTTTCTTTTGATGCTATCGTAGGCCATTGTATAGTCCACACAGAGTTGATGTACTAGAATATTATTTTCATAACATTTCTCTAATGGGCATCTGATGATGAAAATCTTATTAGTCATTGGTCTGTTTTGCCTGAATCAACATTGGTAATGATATAGTATTACTTCAGTGTACGGTTGTAGTCTTTTGGCAATTAGTTCTGTCAGTATTTTGTATGTAACATACAAATTACAGCCCTGCAATTGAAAAGGTACAATCCTCGAAAAATACAAATATTAATTTACACACATGATTTTCACCATTTAAAATTTGAAATGTTACAATATTTTGTGAATAACACTGTTATATAACATATATATTAACATATTATATATTTTTGGGAAATATTTTAGGAAAGCCAGTAATTTCAGTAATAGTACGGACGACCCTTAATTTTAATAATAACAATGCTATAAAAATACTATAATGCTATTTATGACGAACAAGGTTGCATGTCGGTTTTGCTGTTCACATAAATTATAGAGTATGAAAAATATCTATCCAAAATTGTTTTAACTTTAAAACTGATTTTTTGAGATATTACCCTTCATGCCCCCCCTCCCCCCCCCTTTTTTTTAAGCTCCACGGGCCCCAGTATGGGGCCCAGTAGGTCGTGCCCAGGGGCAATGAACCGGCTGCACACTCAGGTGGGGGGGGGGGGGGGGAAAAATGTTTTTTCAGCAAGGGCAGATGACTGTTGTTTCTGTTCATGAAATATGGCGCAGGGTAGGGTTCTCGTTTACGGAGGAAAAGGTGCATTGGGGAGTTCAGTTGTCAACTACTTAAAGAAAAAGAGTTATGTATGTATACTTTTTTTTCCGTAAATTATAATATTTCCCTATTTAGGCTAAAACTGACTTATATTGAAATGTGTTTCGTTTTGTAAAAGTGCAATAGACAGCCTCCTGCTTTACGCCTACGACTACTATTATTATTATGGTCATGGTCACCTGGTCATGGAACAGTATGTTGAGTATGGCATGGACTTGGACTTAAGTTCATCTAAGACTATTATACAATTCAATTGAATAAGATTTTATAAGATTAAGTCTAATGTCTAATCTAAGTAATCTTACTCAGTACTGCCGAGTAGCAATATTGCAGAGCTGCAATATTGCAGCTTTTAGTCTAGTTTTAGACATGATTATGATTAGGCCACACCTATGACATTAAATGTGCTATGAAAAAATAATAGAATAATATGACCAACAGGTTGAGAACCGCTGGCCTAAGGGGTCGTTCGTAAATTACGTCACACCAAAAATGACCTTTTTAGACCCACTCCCCCCTGTCACAAAGTGTCACAAATTCTTTACACCCCCCCCCCCCCCCCCCACCTCACACCTAAAACTAAAAAAAACTTAACATAGGCCTACATAAAATTTTCCCAACTAAACTAATATTTTACTTTATTCATTAACATTTTCCCATAATGGGTTAAGAGATTATTAGAAATCTGTGACGCAAAACAACGAAGTCATCCAAAAGCCAAGAGCGGAATGTAAGATGGCCATAACAGTTTTTGCATCATTTTTCGATATGCGCAGGTGGTCTGAACGACAGAGTTTCATGGTACAAAGTAGAAAATTTTAGATTAAAATTTAAAAAAAAAAACAATAAGTGACGTCACAAATTTTTAAACCCCCCCCCCCCCGTCACAAAGTGTCACANTCTAGTCAGTATAGAATAATTTAAATAAGTAATACTGTGAAATTTTCAAATTCAAATTAAAGGCATGTTTACAAAAAAAGTAAGAAATACTGGGAGGCTTTGAACTTTAAATAAAATCTGTTTACATGCAAAAATACAAAATTCTTTAATAAGGCCCCCTGCCACTTCAATGCAATTACCATACTTTTTATTAATTTTTTCCTTAGCACAACTTTGGGGCCATTATAGTTAAATATCAAAGGCAGACTTGTTTACCCCTGGGTTAGTGTCAGTGTAGTTTTCAGCTTTCAAAAACTTATTTTCAAGCTTCAAAGTGTAGATTGGTCAGGGGGGGGGGGAGTGTTGTCTGGCTGGTTTTCAATCAAAATACAAGTTGTGTAAGGAAATCTACTCAACTGCTTATGTAAGTTAACACAAATAAATATACAGGATATATTTCTGCGATTTGTTTCTTAGGGATGAAAAAAGGTATCAGGGAAGCACTTTGGCAGTTAAGTATTAACAACGCAATTCTCTAAAAGATAATATTCTAGTTAGTTTATTGAGATGAGACCACAAAGGTCAATCACAATTATTCTTATTCGATTGCTTACGGTGTTAACACAAAAAAATGTGGTACCTTTTTATTGAAAAAAACCCAATTATTTAACTTTTTATTAAAATTAAACCAAACATTCGAAAAACTCCAGAAACCGTAGTTTTTTTAGGCTCATCGTAGTGCCATCGTCTTATAAAGCCTAGGGGTAAACAGGTCTGCAGAGGCCCCAGAGGCATAGCTGGCGGCAAAGGGGGGAGGCAGATGTCCAAGGGCGCCAGACTAGTAGGGCGCCAAAATCTGCTTTGACTGTGATGGTATTTTATTGATGAAAATAATTGGGTTCAAAGTTGAAGAGGGGCGTAAAAATGAATCTTTGTCCCTGGGAGCAAAACACTCTATAGCTATGCCTCTGCAATGCCCCTGCTGTGGCAAGTTTGCAGAGCATATTGGACTACTCTGGTACTAGCCTATGGCTCTGGCTTGGGGACTAGCATTTGTCAGTTTAGCAAATGAGGCATGCAGATTAAAATTTTTATTTTTATAAATACTAATTGGGTATATGTTTTATTTGAAACTATAATTTAGTATAGTCTGGTGATGGGTAGGGCGAGACGCGCCCTAAGCTTAATTCACTTTGGGTAGAGTGCCTTTGCTTCCTTCCACACATAACTGGGATGAAAGTCGCCTTGGAGTGGTTTCTGCATAGAAAAAAATTATTAATTATTAAAGTTATACAGTTTTATAGAACAAAATTACACACATATCTAGGATGAAAGTCGCCTCGAGTGGTTTCTGGAAATTTTTTTAATCAATTATAACATTTATACAGTTTTATAGAACAATATTACACGGTTATCAACTAGCTTTAGTCGTTTTTTAGCTATGAATTTAAACAAGCTATATGAAAATGTGAGATTGTTAGTCTTATTTTACATATGACTTTGATTATGAAATCTTTGATAACTAGAATGTACCAGTGTAGTATGGACTGGACAAACTCATTTTGTAACCCTGTTTTTTAATTATATTTTTCTTACATAATACTGCTGTTACTTTATTACTGGTAAAAAATAAAAATTGCTTTTTAATACTTGATATTTTATGCTTCATTTTCTTCACATGTACATTTTATTCAGCGAAATAATGGAATCATTAATCATTATAATAATAACAGAGTGCAGAGTTTGAGCGAATATTCTAACTCAATGATAGTTGGTAAAAATATCAACCATTTGTTATTCACACAGTTACATTGATGTAATGATTACAAAAGATGCTTCTAAGATATAAAAAGGTCTTAACTTTTTTGTTGTTGTTAAGGCAGCAGATGTCCCTGAAAAGTTTTGCATTAAAGTGCTACATAAAAAAGACATTTTATGACCATAAGGGACATAATATTCAAAAGGGTTACATTCATTTATGGACAGTTAGTTAAAAATGTGATTTAAAATGAATTGTCTGTAAAAGTCCATAAGAACTTGAGAAATTATCTTTATAGCTTTTGAAGCACAAAATAATTGTAATTCTCAGCACATGTGATTTTCTGTTCTTGCTTGCTTTAAACTTGTATTATTATAAGCAAGTAAAATTTAAAAAGCTGATGAGAATGTCAAACAACAAGGGGCTTTTGTGGTATATGTCATACAGTTGTATACTTGATAGAGACCTTTTTTTAAAATTTTATTTATCTTCAAATTGATATTAAAAAATCTGTCATTAAAAATGTTTGTTCATTATTTACTTATTGGTTACATATAATCCAGTTTCTTCAATTTGTTAAAGAATAATTTAAATATACATCTATCCTAACAGTGGGTTGGGTCAATTGACCTATCGGTCAATGAGCATGCTGATGCAAATGTGCTGGTGAAGTCTGATGCTTCCATGCCAGAACAGGAGGAAGATGTGAGTGCTCAAGTTGGAGTGCTTCTTGGAGAACATAAACTTGATGCAATATTTTGTGTTGCTGGAGGATGGGCAGGTGGCAATGCCAAGAGTAAGTTGGACTAGTTTTTCACTTAGTTTCCTATATTGAGTTGAAATTTATAAGAAAATACTTTTTTTTATAAATAAATGTTCCCATAAAATTTGTCCACACATGATATAATGCAGTAGGGCTAACTTGTTGGGATAAAATCAAGACATATATTTAAACCAACAATAAAATTCTAACTACCAGTACCTAAACAAAATCCCCAAAAGGGTTTAAAGATATCTTGTGTGGACCACCCAAAATTTTGATAAAATATTTAAGTTTTTAACAAGAACTATATCTTTTGATTTAGTGGCGTTTGAAGTCCTTAGGTGTAAACATACATGTTTAAATGTTTGTTGAATAATTAGATTTGCTGAAAACATAGTATCTAGCTAAATTAGTGTATAAAACATCTGAAATACTCCATACACACAAGAGATAATATCTCTTCACCTTATCAAGAAATGATTATTTTTCTTAACTGAGTCACATTATATGAATAGTTTGATTTACGATTCTAGAGATTGTGGAACCTGCAGAAGCTATGTGGAAACAATCAGTTTGGCCTTCTGTTATAACTGCCAGTCTTGCTTCTAAGTATTTAAAAGAGGGAGGGGTTGTAACTCTGCCAGGAGCACAGCCTGCTTTGCAAGGGACACCAGGTAATCAAAATATCAGAGTGAATTAGTGGATATAAGTGAAGTAGAATTTAACAACTTGATCTAAAAGTTGTAAGCTTTGTTATCAAAGAGGGTGTTGTTTGATGGTGACGTCAATATCAAAACAAAATCAAGTGGTGGTAGCTAAAATTACGCCCACACACATAAGATAATACTTTTGTTTAGTGAAGTTTTGGCTTATGTTTCAAAATTAACATTTTAATTGATTAGTGATATCAGAGTCAAATCATTATTTATTTTAAATTACTTTTAGTAATAATAATATTTGTGTGGCACTTGTTAAAAGCCTTTTTGGTTAAATCACTGTTTAATCAAGTTGATTCATTAAAAAGGGTATTGGGCACATTCTATCAGTCAAAATGTTTATTAAAGTAATGTGAACGAGGAGAGGTGAGTGGAATTCTGAACAGAGCACTTATAAGTTGCGTGCTCCAAAACCCTGGATAAAAATAATAGTATTTGGTTAGGCCAGGAGATATTTTAAGAGTTGATTTCAAAGATTGGTTTTAAGAGACTATTTTAATATTTGGAGATAGTGATGGGTGGCAAATTGATTTAACCGATTAACATTTTTACAAATTGTGATTTTGTTTCAGGCATGATAGGATATGGCATAGCCAAAGCAGCCGTGCACCAGTTGACTAAAAGCTTGGCTGGAGAAAATAGCGGTCTTCCACCAAGTTCTACTGTTTTGGCTACACTGCCGTATGTTATAGCTTTTCTCTATTTTTGTGTTATTTAAATGCTCTGAGAAAGTGTTGATATTTCATTGGGTTCCCGCCTTAAAGTAAAGGCTGGATTAAAGTTGGGGTTGTGATTGAGATTTGTTCACAGCAACACAAAATTGAACATAAAGATAAAAGAGGTAAAGCTTTGTAATTTCATAAAATGATCTTTATGTTAATGTGTTATCTGTGGAATGTGTACTTTTGCACATACCTATGTTTCTAACCATTGACATTGCATATTTTTATGGTTCTTACTGACATATAATATGACTCTTTTAAGATGTGATCCTGAACAACAGCCTATTTTCAATTATTATATGTTGAAATGAAACTTTTTTTGTCTGGTGTGCAAAACAGTTGTCATTTTCTGATTATCTTTGCTCTTTTTGCCAAAAACTGAGCAGCATATAAATCCAATTTCTACAAAAAATCCAAATTGATAGTTTGTGATTTCTTTTAAGAAAAGTTAAAGGATTGTCATAAGTTGTATTTTGTCAAATAAATAGAGCTTGGATTGATATTTCCTATCTGGAATTTGAAATTAATATTGATACTATTTGTTCAAATGTGTTTACTTTTTCTACTTTCCCACCCTCCTTTACCCTGTTATCCTCCAGACCTCAGCCCTTCTTAGGGCATGAATTTTCTTGAAGATAATTCAGAAGGAAAACTATGTTTGGTAAATAAAACTAGGTGGATTGAAATAGATGATCTGTTAATTGTTTGCATGTGATTAATAAATTTTATACTTTTAAACAAATGATTTCAGAATTACATTGGACACACCAATGAATAGAAAATGGATGACCTCTGCTGACTTTTCTACCTGGACATCATTAGATTTTGTTTCAGAGTAAGTTTATACCTTTTATTATGTTAAGTTAATTACTTAATATCACTTTATTAAGTATCTAGTTATATCCATGGTATTTTAAAAGATTTTCAAATAAATAATTCTTATACAAAAAGGATAGTACTGGGTAATAACTGTTAATTTTTCAGACTCTTCCACAAATGGCTGGTTGGTGAGCAACGTCCACCTTCAGGAAGCCTAGTCCAGTTGATAACCAAGAATAATGAAACTGATCTTGTACTGGCCTAAATGACGGTGGCATATAATTAAGTTTTAAATGCACATTCCATTTCAAAAGTAATTCTCATTTTTTAGCCTTTAAGTACCTGACTAATAAAAATTCATAATAGGGAATGAACAAAAAAATTTGCCAAACTGCACAATGTACTGTCAGAATTACTTTAGTCAAGGAGTATTCACAATAGCGAATGATTATCATAATTATTACAAATAATTGATTCTCCGTATGGTGCCATTCAAATAACTAGCTGTGTTCCATTTCATGAGCCAATATTTACTAGTGGAAAAAAGAAATCAATTTACGCAATATGACAAAATATAATTTATTAATGAGGCCTTTTATGAGTGAAAATCAAACAAGAATTTTCTGGTTTTGGTAATTGTTTAACTTATTAACTTATATTGTACCTGGGATTCACAGAAATGTTTGCTCAACATTCAACTTTATATGCAAACTTTATATGTGAGTTAATACATGTAGATAGTATAAGAGACTCTTGGGTTGAATTGGAAGATTAATGTGAGTTTCTAGTCTAATCTAGTGAGTAGTTTATAGTGGAATGTAGCAATTTATTTCAAAATTATTTTAATTAAATATATACTAGTTGATTTTTTTACCCTGTAAATTTACATTTTAAAAAAAAGTTTGTTTAAATTTAAAGTCAAATTTAATGTATCTCTACAATTTAACAAGTCATCTTATAAGTAATCTCATAATGTTTGTTCTTATTGCAAAAGTTAAAGCAGTCAGATTAATATTCAAAATTTATTTTCTGGAGGCTACTTTTAACTCCACTATAATAATTTGGACCTTTTTTGTAAAAAAGATATTTGCAGAAATTGTTTTAAAAAATATTATGTTGCATTTGTTTTATGTTCATGGATATAATAAATATAATTTCAGCAATATAATTTCACTGTTCAATTTTTTCATTGATGTGGAGGACTGGCATAATAATGATATAAACTAGTCTGTATGTTGCTTGTAATGGTAAAGCAGTAACCCTATTCCATTATCATTTTAGAAACTTTCATGGGTTTAAAAAATAAAATAAGTTATAAAACTGGTACTGGTGTAGTAACTAACAAAATTACATTTTTTTTCTTAAACTTAAATAATATCTTTCAGATTTCAAGTACCCTATATTAATAGCTGTGTGTATCGCACTCTTAGTTTCGGGTTGTCGAAGTGGGTATTAGCGGTTGACTCACCGATAGGTCTCACTATAATTGGGGGGTTAAAACATAAATATAAGTTATATTTGTTAAAATATTAATATTACAAACTGGAAATAACCTGCAAAACAATGGTGGTGGCAATGCATGAAATTCCCTTCTATCTAATAAAGTTACTTTACAAAACATGCATTCAAAGTATGCAGGTTATAAGAATCATAATAGTGCCAATTTCTGGGAATTGTATTTTGAGTGCCTATTGAACAGAGCATTACAGCCATACATAAATACCTAGAGAATTACTTTTGTGATATTCACATTTCTTTCAAAACTTTGCTAACAAATATTGAAACATTTTTGCGGAAGTGAATAACTACAGAAATTTATCGTTGGTATTGTTATTATTTCCTTATCGAGTGATGAGACAAAAACTTGGACAATCACTTAAGTCACTTGAAAATGATTGTCCTCAGCAAATCATATGATAAGTTATGGTAAATATAAGCTGTGCAGATTGAGGTGTTTAATTTGATGTGTGATTGGATACAGCTGGAAGAGGTGATGGCATTAAATGGAAATGTCAGGGGCTAATGGTTCTCTCCCTTGTTTGAGCCCAGGTAATGCACCTGGTCTACTGATTGGTCACCTTTTTTTTCAGATCCCTGTAATTAAAAGTGGTTAGGTCACACCCATGGTTTTTATTAAAATTTTTGTTTAAAAAAGTGTGACCTGGACACTAGAATATACTGCAATCTAAATTAATAATGCTTTACAAAATCAGCTTTATATTTTTAAAAGACAACAACCTTGATGTAGGGGAAATTTTTGTGAAGGGATGCAATAGCATCTTCTGAAAGTGCAAAGCTATTCTATATCAGTGAGCTACTGTTAATTTTTTAATGTAAGTTTATAGTTCAGTTCCTACAGCTATTTAAAATGAAAGGAAATTGACAAGGTGGTTGGATACAATCTACCTACAATGACAAAAGATGCCTATTTGTCAATGATATTAATAAATAAAATTTATGTTATGGTTCATTTATGACCCTGGTACAAGTGTTTTTAGAAAATACTTAAATTGGCTATCTCAGACCAGCTTTATCAACGCAGATATTTGTCTACAATTTAATTTGGCAAAGTTTAAAATATCACTGTTAAATTGCCATGTTACTAAAGGAACTGATTGCATTATTGTCTTGAGTAATGTCACTGAACGGATTCCTTGATGCTTATGATTTCTGTTGCTTAATAACTTAATACTAATAGTCTAATTTAAAAAAAAAAAATACTGTTATAATTACACTACCACAAGTTTTAAAACTTTGAAGAAAAAATGACAACTTCACTCTATAGACACAAACATTGATTAACAACACAAAAAAATAAAACTTTATATAGAAGACAAGACTTTGTACACATAATTTATTTTTTTCAGTCAGTCAATATGTCATGGGAGACTAAGTGTATGATTTGAAAACAGCTGCTATGATGAACCTATCAAATTGTAAATACACTAGTCATGCTAGTACAAATAAAAATATAGGCATTAGATAACATCAGTTGATACCAAATAAGTAAGTTATACTAGTATAAAACAAATGTACATGCTTGTTGAAAAAGCAGTTTTACAAAAAATATATAATTTAAGAAGGCGAAAATGTATGCAAAAAAATAAAATCATGGAGTAAATGACCCATGTATGAGATAAATAGTGGCCCTCAAATTAAAAAGGTAATGCAGGTCACAACCACTTGGTTAAAAATCTTACCCATTGCAAGTCAAATGTGAATCAAAATAAGCAATCTACAGCTGTATGCTATTGTTTAAAAAATCAATAAATAACCAAAGAATTTCGGTATGCATTGAACTGATTTGTTTCCTATAGTATCCTTAATGTGATACATGACTATAATAGCTAATGGGAAATACCTGTGTAAAGAGCAGACTTAAGTGGTGGTAAAGCTACAATTTTCTATTTAAAAATTTGTTTTAAATAGAAAATGTTATAAAATAAATACAGCTATTATTAAAGAACTTGATATACATGCCCATGAACTTCATTAATATAATAATGTCCCACCCCCATTTACAATGAAGATATTTAAATTGAGACCATTTTTTATAAATAAAAGAAAATATTACACCCTTGCTGTATTTTTCAGAATCTGATTTAGCGTAGTTATCTGGAATTTTATTTTGCATGCTATTAAACTCAACATTACTCCATACTTTCTTTCATATATAGAGAATTATATTGATGGAAACAATTTCAGATAAATTATAAGTCAACAACAAAAAAGAGTAAATTAGTAAAAAAGCAACTGCATTTTTAAAAGAGATGTTCTGTTTGTAAGACTAATTCACAACACTAGAGGTAATAAAATAATTTTCTTCTGAGAATTTCGTTGTCAGACTTAAGTAGTAAAATGAAACAGAATGGTGCTATTATTAATATACAAACTCATAACATTTCTAGTTGTGATAAAATTGTTTTAAATGAGACATAATATGAAATAGCATTATTATATTTACTTTACTATTATTACAACCATGAGCCGGTTTAGACCACTGTTCTTTATCAACAAATATTACATTTTTACAAATTACTGCATAATATTTTAGGGGAAAAAAGGTGAACATTTACTGTATTGTTTTTTTACAAGAAATATTCGCTTGTTATGTCTTGTATTGTCATTATAAATACAAAAAGCTTTAAACAAAATTTTTTTATTAAAAAAAATAATAGAGATTTAAATCAACTTACTTTTAACAGCACTCTTATTTAGGTCAGTGAAACAAAAATATTGCACAATCTAAAAATAAAAGCTCTTGTTGAGACATACATTTTATGATTATAGGATATTTGATTTTGTTCTTCACCCGTAATGTTAGGATATGATGGATTTTAAAAAATGTCATGCACAATTGCAGCGTCACATTTCAGAAACACACAAAAAAAATCTTGAGTGGGGGAAAAAAAAAGCAATACATAAATAACTTAAAGCATTATATTTTGTTATTTAAAAGTCCTGCACAGTTTTTAGATGTTTTCAGCCAATGATAACAAAGGCCAATTAATTTACAATAACTAAATCTACTTATTTTATCAATACTGAGCAAGAAAGGGCTTGCTCCATGGAATAATTATAAAATTATTATTTGTAAAATTTCTAATTCCCTTAACAGTGCAGCAACAACTAAAATTTGCTGCATACATTAAAACTCTAGAAAATCCTACATTGTCCATCAGTATTAGGGTGGCTCCCTAGAAATCTTCATTTAATTACTTAAATGGCATGAGTTGCTTTCATTTTATTGCTTCAAGAACAAAATATGGCAAATATTTTTGCAGAAAGATCACACCAGCAGTAAAAAGAAATAGGGAAATCTGCATGTCAGACCTGTTAACTCTTACGATTTTGGCGTACAATGTACAATTTTGAGGTGTATGCATTATATACACTGTGTATTTTTTTTTACTATTAAGATAATGTGTTGAACGATTTTGTGGTGATATTGTACGATTTTAAGAGTTTCGGGGTAAACAGGTCTGGCATGTTATCTGTACCTTTTGTCTACTTATGAAGGCAAAAACTTTTGTCTGGTTATGATTTATCTCAGATAATGTTTTGCCACATAAATTTTTTTGATAAGCCATTTTAGCTATATATAAAGAAAAAGTTTACACTAAAGCACTAGTTACCAACCCAGAGGTTATAAGGGGTTGCAAAAGGTGTTCTTTTCTGTGCTGGTCTCAACTGAAACAGTAAACTTAAAAAATATGTTGATTTTAAAGAAAGTTATCTTGTATGTATTGGGGATGTTGGTCATTTTGGTTTCATAAAATGGGGAGTCACAACTTGAAAAAGGTTTGAAACTTTGTGAAACCGACCCTCAGTTTAATATTTTCAATACAGTACCTGGGTAAACTGTAAAATTATGCCATTTTAGCTGTTCTAGAGCTTAATTATCATTTAGCAAGCAAATTACTTAAGGAAGACAGAGAAATGACTTAAAGATTCCATCACTAGCAAGCAATAAGCCATTTAACACAATGATGAATAAGAATGGGCATTTTTTCTTTTCTTCTTTTGTTGAAAAAATTCATTTAATTTGAACAAATTATGGTGAAATCTATTACTTGTATAAAGCTTTTAAATCTACAAAAAAAAATCATATAAATAATCTGAACTTAAGATAAATGTATTCTTTCTTTGGTTTATGAAAGTGCAAATTGAAAGAAAGGCTGTAATATGTCTCAATATTGTAGTTTATCAGATAGTTTTACTGTAACTTAAATTTATTAATCCTAACATTATTACATTCCAAAATGTACAAAAACAAATCTTTACCATTAAGTTACCTTTTTAACTGTTAACACTACAAAAATGCTTTTTTTTAGTCATGAAGAAAAGTGACCAAAAAAAAATAATGCAAAAAGATTATGCTCTCAAAATAAAAGAAAACTTATTTGAATTATCTATATCATACACATGAGATATGTTCAGTTGATTCTCAAATAAATAATTTAAGTATGCTGCTCATATGTAAGATATTATATAAAAAATATTTTGATAATTCTTAACCCTTTAATAAGCGTTTTGAGTACTACAGCAGGCTGACTTTATCAGCATTCACATATTCAGACAAAAAGCCAGATGGGCAGGACATGTTGCAAGAATGCCAGACAGCAGACTTTCTAAACAACTAATGTTCTGTGAACTTTCCAGGGGAAACATTCAGTGTAATAAGGGGAAAGACTGCAATCAGGTGAGCAAAATATAAAATGAGTAAAACAAAGTGGGTTAAACCTGAAAAAAACATGAAACAAAACTACGAACGTCTCGGCAGGAAGCCTTCGTCAGCGAACAAAACAACAGAAAAAACAGAATAAGCTAAGTGCTATTTTTTAATTTTATTCTGTTTTTTCTGTTGTTTTGTTCGCTGACAAAGGCTTCCTGCCGACACGTTCATTGTTTTGATGCATGTTTTTTTCAGGTTTAACCCTACTTTTGTTTTACTCATTTTATATGAAACATTCAGTAGCAGGCAGAAAAAAGGCTGTAAAGATTGTTTGAAAGCTTCACTTAAAGCATGAACATCAACCTGATTTCATTGGAAACGTTATGGATTGCACAAGCTGGCCAGGCAGACTTACTGTTGGAGGAAAACACACCGCTCAAGCCTAAAGAAAGTGCACAGCAAAGAAAAACAGAATCACTCCAATCCATCTAGGAACTCAGAATTTGTGTTTCCTACATGCTGGAAAACTTTCTGAGCACAAGCCATCCCCATACTCATTGTCAAATATAGCCTTGGTTCTCTTCGCATGCGAAGGACATACAACAAGCCTTTATAGTATGTACAGCTTATATAATAAGATTAATTTACTCCCAATTTTGGGAAAGGCTGCTTCATCATCCTGTTTAACAGCTGGCTTTTGTGGTTCAAAAATTAAAGATGAAAATAATAAATTTATATTCTAACATTTGCTCAGGTTTCGTGACATAATGCATGTACAACAATACACCTTTGTTAGCCAATAAATAAACAATAAAAACTAAAGCCTACTTTAAGAGGGATGACAATATTTGTAAACAATATTCAGAGTTGGAGCATACTAGAGTGTATAAGTATTTCACCCCAAAATATTGATTATATAAAGCAAAAAGATACATTTTATGAAAAGGATTTTGCAATAAGTTTTGGTGAGTTTCTTGTATCAATTAAGTTGGTACAACATCTGTAAGTTATTTACATTATTATACATTCCATTTACATTTTTTAATAATGAATCAAATTCAAATGCGTCATGTTAAAGACATGTTTACTGCTTTGCACTTCACCAGTGCACCTGTAATACTGGAGTCATGATTATTTGATCTATAATAAAAATATAACTCTAAATATAACAATGAAGAGTATTTTGTTGGTCAGCATAAAGTTACAGAGTATATTACAGCAAATATTTTTCATAAATTAAATCAATTAATTAAAATAAAATTTTTAAAAAGTCTTGCACATCTGATGCCAAACAAATGTAAATATCCTGCATTTAAAGTTTCAAAGTTTTGTGCAAACATTTGCTTTTTCACACTTTATAAAAAACTTAAAATTGTACAATATGTATATTTTCCAGTGCTTATTGCTAAAACTAAACACTTGTTTCCTTCTTTTGGAAATCAGAACCTGAACTTTGTCGTATCCAGACATTATCGTCTAAACTGTCGCCATCATCCGAACTAGTGCTAGAATCATCAGCCATGTTACAAAAGCCTTTCTGAGTTAAACGTTCATACTCACTAGCTGATCTGGGAAGCCAAAAAGCTTTGGTGGCTAAATCATCACTTTCACTAGCCTGCTTGATAAGTTTGTGCATAACTTTGTCTCTGTACATGTGATTAACATAAACATAATTTGCTTTTGATGGTCGACCTTTAAACTGTTCATCCCATCCCAATGACCTCTGCTTGTTGGTAAGTTTGTTTCTAGAGTGCCTTTCAGATCTATGATGTTTTTTCCTGTGTGTTGGATCAGAGTGATGGTCAGAATCTATTGACCTAGCTTTTTTCATATTTTGTTGTGTATTTTGATTGGGCCCCTGATAATGAGGCTCATAAGCCTGACTGTCTGACATAACTGGGCTACAGGGGGCATAAGTAACAGTTCGCCCTGGACTGCCACCTGCCTGAGTTCGTTTAGGTCGTGGCCGGCTGCTGTCTGAACTATCCCCCCCAGACAGAGGACGCCAGCTATTGCCACTACAGCGATTTTTCCGGTTTGTTTGAGACTGTGAATGAGAACTACTGGATCCAGGGCTCATGGACTTGACTTGTCGACCCTGTGACTGTATGAGATATGGGGATGGCGGGATGTTGAATGAGGGTAGCACCTGCTGATTTAAGGGTGTGGGGGAAAGGCCATTAGGGCCTGAAGGATGACTTTGATTCAAATTAAATATTTGGGGATTCAGAGAAACTGGCTGAGGGAATACACCATAGTCAAATGGATAATGTTGTTGTTGAGAGTGAGCAGGCGGTGGAGGAGTGAATGAGTATGTTGCTGTATGACTAGTTAAGGGAGATAGATTACAATATGGATTCCAAGCTACACCTGGATTCACCGGTCTCAGTGGAGCTTCTCCCTGGAGAGACCGTTCTGTCTGCGAATTTGTCCCACTTAATTGATTCCGTGGTACTGAACCATCTTTATCTGCTAGCCTCAGCTTCTCATCCCCCTCATCAAGATTCTTCCCATGACGAGGAAGTGTGTTGTTATTGCGGGGCTGGACTGGAGTGAATGCGCTAGGATGAACCCCAGTCCCAAGTGAGCCAGCACTGGGTGAACGTTGATGCTGAGGAAGATTCTGATTAGGGTTAGCTTGCTGGTAGGCTGAAGCAAAATTTGTGTCTCTGTCCGGAGTTGTTGACTTAATTCCAGATACCTGACTATTGTGCTCCAGTGATATGGCACCACAGGATGAACCCAGCATATTCTGAGGGGTTATTTGATTATTTATGTGAACAGGGATTTCCCTGGAGCTAGAGAAAGAGCCAGCTTTGGCAGAGGGCTTCTCTTTTGACTGAATCTGAATCTCAATACTAAGGTGAGTATTGGCATCACTACTGGTTCCATGACTGTGGCGGTGATGGTTTAGCTCCCCCGCCGAATTGTTGTCAGTCAGACTGCTGTTCAGATCCCTGTTCACATCTTTGTTCATAACTTTGCTGTGGTGTCGGTTTTTCTGCCAAAATTTTTTAGCGGCTCCATTCTGCCTGGGATTATAAAAATTAGGGAAGCCTTCTTGCGCTGAATTGAATGATATCTCGGAAGAATTTGGTATGATAAGGTTGATGTTGGACTGTTTGCTATTATTCTTCATATTGTAAGCCTTTGTGATATTGGAAGATTTTTGGGAGTATAATGACAAGTTGGTGTTGCTATTAGACTTGACAGCACTGCCATTAGCCTGTGGTTGAGTTACAGGGGTTGGTTCGGGTTGCAGCTCGGTTATTTCCATTGGGGCTGTATATGTTTCCTTTGGGGCACACCCACTCGCATGTTTCCAGCTCAGCTGAGCATCTCTTCGAGTACAAATAAAATAAATAACCATGAAAATACCAAAGAATGAACTCATCAGTCCGTAAGCATAGCTGAAAATGATTTCTTGGTGAGGGATAATGAGACGGAAAGGCTTGGCAATGGCCAGGGCGCCACACATCCACATTACTATAAACAAAAAGAGGAAGGCAACTAGAGATCTGAGTTGTGTGATAGGCCTTCGCTCCTGGTCAGGGATACTTGCCACAGAAACGACATCCTCCTCATCTTCATCATTACTAGCTCGACTGTATCGCCTGCGATAACCTCCACCATTGCTGCTGCTAATGTTATTGTTGTTGTTAGAATGATGCAAGTTGATATTATGAGTGGTGTTTGTAGTGGTGTCAGGCTGAGATGGCACAAGCTCAATTTCATTGGTGTGGATTTCATTGTCACTTTCATTAGCTGCCTCACTGTCAGTTTCTGGCACAGACCTCACAACACAGGAGATTCTCATGAAAAGAACAAGATTCCAAGCAACAAGTAAAGCTACTGGGGCATAAAAGGCACCGAGACTGGGTTCCCATTCCAGAAAGCAGCTGTGGAAGATAAGTTTATAAGCTGATTATACAAACTATGATTACCAACCAATAGTCTATATCTATATTCCTTAGTGGTGCAAATGTACAGACTGCTACATTTTCATATCAGGTAAAAAATATACAGTATTGTATTGTATTATTGGAATAATTATAATCATATGCATCACTTCAATGAATAAATAACAATTTTTAAATAACATTATAAGTATTACAAATCATGTTCTTGTTTCAGCAAAATAAAATCCGGGGTTGGTAAAGTTATGTTATGACTCTCCACTTACTATTTGAGGCCAGAATAAAAGTTGATGTTTACGGCAGCTGTGATGCCACAAATGATGACAGGTACACCATATCCAACAAAGTAGAACTGGAGAATAGGCTTTGGTGGGAGTGGCATGGGGCCAAGCTCAGGTGGAGGCTCTGGGGGCCGATTGGCTTTGATGAATTTTTTGTAAATTATGCTGAGGTAAAATAGAAATAATAATGAATGTTCTCATTCTTAGTATCCAAACATTATTTTATAAAGACTTAATTAGATTCAATCAAATAAATCCTGACATTTCATAATTCCAGAAATATAAAATCAAAATTATAAAAATATTATTGTTACAGCAAAATAATAATAATATTATTTTTAAAGATTAGTGATACTGGTAAATAACCTACTTGGACATAATGGTGATCCAAAAAACTGCACATAACGTAAGGTAATGAATACATATGCCAGCCATTTGACAAGGCAATTCAAAATCTGTGCGATTGATGCCAAATATAAATGCTGCCATCATTAAGAATGTGCTCAAACAAAGATTCACAACCGCATGCTTGATTTTCTTGGGAATTCCAATAGACCTGAAAACAAGAGTTATTAGTATATATTTGAGTGTCGACATACAAAACATAGTATGCTTGATAAAAATTCAGTGTGGTAAATGTAATTTATTCTCAATTAAGCTTTTCTTGTGCAAGCAGCAATATCTTCTTGCTAATAATTGTTAATTCAATAAAAATAATTGCACTTAATAACACAATTTTTCATTATTGTTCACGGTCACGAGTCAGGATACTACCACACTATGCTGTATACCTTTATTGTACCATTGATCTTTCTTAGAATTTTTCTTATTACCATCCGCTGTATCGGTTGGTATAAATACCAATTTTCCTTTTGTGATAATGTCTGTCTCGCTCATCAACGTGAGCCCAAAGTTTTCTACTGTGTCAAGAATTCCACAAAAATCTTTTAGAGAAAGGTCAAGCTAGAGCTAATTCACATTGAGACGCTGGCCGCTAGATGGATCTTTTGGTTTTTATTTTTAACACAACCGGAAAAAGATAATTTCATTGTCTCCTGGAACCAAAGGTGATTTAAATGATGACATGTCTGCAATTCTGATCTCTTTTAGCAACCTGTGTTTAGAGAACTCGTGAACATGCATGGTTTATAATTATGTCTATTTGGGAGGAACTGGGTGTATTTGACTTACCCAAAACATGCCATCAAAGTAATCATTACAAGAAGCATACAGAACATGCATACTCCGCTGCCAACATACAAAACTGGCTCCATAGCAAATGCAGCTAATCTGTATTGAAATGAACGATCCTGTAAGAATAGAAAATAACAAAAGTTAATTTGTTTATAAAACAACATTATTCGTATTAAAAACAACCAAGACATCAGTCTGTGCAATGAGTACAATTCCTACAGATATTGTTTTATGGATACAGTTAAGTTAATAATGTAAATAAGAATCTTTAGATAGATTTCTGCCCTAACTAAAATACTTTAATAATTTCAGCTTTTAGATTTATAACTACTGTTGAAAAAATCAACACATTTCTCATTTCAGCCAAGGCACCACTGAAAATTAATTTGTATGTTTTTTAAAACTATTTAAATAAATACCTGCAGAAGTGCAAAGTTAGAAAGATGATAAACATGAACAACAATTGAAGTTCCATTCCTTTTGATTATTTCACACCTATCAGTTTTCCAACCACCATTTCCTTCTGAAACAAAGAAAAACATTAACCATAACTTGAATGATTATATACTATTTCCCACCCACACGTAATATAAGCAATAATGTGCACACAAAAAACACTTTCACTGCTCTATTAGTCTTATAAAAAAATAAAAAAAAGACAAGTAAGGCTTATTTATATGAGACCTGAGCATGATTTTAGTATGTGCTTATGATCTTTGTTTAATATAACATAATTTTTTTAATAACTTATTTTTTCTTATTTAGAAATGTTCAAATACACTTGCTATATGTATTTTCTTATTGGAACTTACCATTTAAATCAAAATCAAAATATGCTGCCTTGAGTGGTTTTCTTGTATCTACAACTTCAAATGTTATCACAACAGGTTTTGACAAATTTTTTGCAGGTCCACCTAATTTTTTTAACAATTTAAAAATTTGAAAATGGACATGACAAAATGTGTTTTTTTCTTAAACTTTCCATCAAATAAATTTAATCAAGTTTAATAAAATATTGATATCTCACACCATCATTTTTTTAAAATAGAAAATCTTTATGTTTACATTAATATATACAGAATAAAATATGACAATACCATAATGATGTGCATACAAAGAATGTGATTTTTTAAATTTATCATATATTTTTCTCAACATACCAATAGAAACTGCTAAGACAGGAGTCACCACTGCCCAGTTTCCTTTCCTGAAGGCAGGATCATGTAAATCTGACTGAAGGACTGGAAATAGTTTACTGGTTCGATGTAGAATCACAAAGACATTGGTTTTATGCTGAGAATGAATGGTATTGATGGGTGAAATATTTGCATATGGAAAAAGATGCTTGGCAGAGATGTTCAGGTGGGATGATAAATTCAAGGGTTTTGATAATTTTGAGAAATATTTTGAGGATATATTGAGAGCATCCCATGGGCTTGTGCTTGATGAAAATGTGGGGAAAGCTGAGGTTGATGTGGCACTGTCATCATCCTCTCTTGGTCTGTTGGCTTGGGCTTCTAGTGGGTATGAATTGGGAGAGTAAGGGAACACAGGTAATTCTTGTGGCAGAGATGATGTGTCTGATGAAGAGAAATGATAAGTTGTATCATTTGAGACAAAAGTCTCATTGCTGATGTCATTTGAACTGTATGTGCTGTTTTCTTTTGGCCATTCCGTTGTTTGTGCTGGATCAACTGGTTTGGGTGATTTTGCAGCCATCAGTGCTGGGATGTTAACATAGATTGGTGTATTCTGAAAAATAAGAAAGTTACCAACATCTTTATAAAAAAAAAATATGCAAAGTCTTTATTACAATCATCTTATCCTTGTATGCATAATCAAAATGCTCCTTTTTAAAATCAACTGCATGCCTCCAATTTTAGAGAAATATTTTAAGTCTCCTTCAAATTAATTACTATCCAAAGTATTTTGACTTTCTTAAACACACACACACACCATGTAATTAATTAGTGTGCAGATATATTAGCCTCTAATGGGTGTAATTCTTAATACTAACTGCCACGTATGGCAACACAATTTAAAGACATATACTCGTAACACGGAAACTTTGTCACAGACTAAATAGGAAGTATATACAGTCTAAGAATTTGGTGGCAAATGTTTTAAAATTTAATTATAATATAAAAATAAAAAATGGTTGGGACCAGAAATGATACAAAAATATATGATACTCACAATTTCAGAAGCATGACTGCTACAGTGAAAACTGGTGCTTGTGAATCCATGATTCATAGATTCCTTACTGCCACGAAAGGAACAGTGGACACCAGTTTGTAGGACTTGCTTTTTGCTTAGCACAACAATAACAACATTCTCTGAGAAACGACTCCACTCTAAGCTTAATAGCTGGGAATCAACCTGTTCACTCATTTGTTCTAGCATTTTAACCATTCTGAAAAAGAAAAAAAATGAAATGATGCATTCAGGTTAGTGGTTAGAAGTTTAACAATTTAGTTGGCATAAAAAAAAATGCTGTTGTTTTTTTTAAATACTAAAAGCAGTTTAAAAGTGAAACTGCACTTCTGAATACTAGCTAAAAGAATATAATGACAAAAAAACTTATCTTTTATAACTAATCATAAAATAGCAGATAATTGTTTCCCACTGAACCGACCATTAATTTCTACTAATAAAAATATTTCTAACCTTGAGCGAGCTCTTGTTTCTTCCTGAGCTGTGGTCAAAACATCAGAACTCAGAACACTTATATTGCTGACCATGTTAACCAAAAGTGAAGAAACCTGAAAAAAAAATGTTGTTGTTTTTTTTTTGGCATTTTATATTTTATTTATTAAGGATGAACTATGGGTCGCAATCCCGGGATTCCGAATTTCAAAAATACCGGACTATAACGATGCTCGAAAAAAACTGGGATTGGAACTTATGAAAACCCTAAATATGAAAAGGAAAATCATATGAAACTATCGGAAACAAAGACATCAGTTTGGTATTATTTCTTGAAAACTATGGACAATCTCTCAGCTAAATGTAACAAGATACTTAAAACATTGGGAGGCACAACTTCAGGCTTTCACACTCATTTAAAGTCTGTACATTCACTGCCTTGAAAGATATTGCCGTTTCTGGTACTGGTACACCAAGAGCATTGATTTCTATGGCATCTTGTTCTAAAACTTCCACCGACACAGAAAATGAAACACCACTAGTAAAAGCAAATGAACAGACTATTTTCCAAGTTCAATCAGCTTAGAAGAAACAACTACTCGTATGGCAGGTTTAGATGGTCTTCCAATTAGTTTTTTCATTACTTCTTATGATCAAAGACGAATCTTGAAGCAATTTAGCTACAATATGCCTACATCTTCTAATTCAATTAAAAAAATGGTGATAAAGCACAGTGAGACTGTTAAAACCTCACTGATTACTAAACTGCGTTAGCTGAAAGAAGAAAGAGTTAAACTGTCTCTGACCTTGGATGAATGGACGAGTTTGGGAAATTGTTGCTTTATGAACGTAAACATTCATAGCCCTATGTTAATCAATGAATTTGTAAATCTTGGCCCAATAAGAGTGATAGGCAGCATGTCGGCCAGAACTTGTTTACAATTGTTGTAAAAACAGGCTATCCGCTTTTGAATAGTCATTGAAGCTGAAAGCTACTGATGGTGCTAGTGTGATGACTGTATTAAGACATGAAGCAGCGCTTTACCATCAACAGCGTCTTGCTCACGGTGTACAGCTGGCAATCTTAGACATCCTTTATAAAATAATATATTTTTAAAAAAACTCTTTAACCTCAACAACTTCAACTTAAAACTATTATGATGATTCTGACTGTGATGATGATAATAACGCAGTTGAAAACAATCAAAATAATGAGTTTATTTTCAAAGATTTAATCGCGAAAATGCAAGAAATTGCAAAAATTTTTTAGAAAGTCGCCTAGCAAAAATACAATTCTCTAGAAATATGGGAGAAATTTGTTGTAGCTTAATTTAATTTCAGATTGCAGCAAAAGATGAAATAATTTAGCAGACATGTTAGGAAGGATAGTGAGACTAAAGCATCCTATTTTAATATTTGATAATGTTGTTAGGTATGTAATACTTAGAATGGGTATTCTCGTATAGTTTTTGCAATGTTGCATTTTGTATTTCAATGTGGTATATTATAGATTGTTTCATTTCTCTTTTAACTCTCAAAAGACGGGAGATTGAAAAATCGGTCATATATGGCGGGTGAAAAAAAGGACCCCTAATATATATATAAAAATAATATTAAAAGGCGAAAATAAAGATTTACTCTTTTGGAATGTTAAATTTCTATTTGGCAAGAAAAAAAAATCGTTTATTTTACTAGTTCTTGAAGAAATCTGGTAGCAACTTGTCCATTCATAAATTTTCCTTTTCGCCATTTACTCATATTTTGCCACAATTCCGGTTCACTGTTACTACACTCTAAAACATTGCTATGGAATCTGATTCTGATTATAAGCTTGAAATGGACAACTATTCTTACTTAGAGGAATATTTTTGATGAAGATAGCACTTCAGATGTGTCTGATACCGAGAATTGTGTAAATTATCATC